TCTCTCTCTCTCTCTCTCTCTCTCTCTCTCTCTCTCTGTAATTTTCCATCAATTTTTGATTATCTTTTGTATTCTCATTGATATCATCATTAAGACATCGCAACATTACCAATGGAATGTGTGCGATGCCTTTATAAATTCCACACTGCAGTGAAATATTTGAGTAATCATAAGCGATAGTCCTCAGCTTAGATCATAAAAATGATCATCTCCTCATGAAAATATTAGCTTAATTAATAGCATCCATAACCGATTTCCATTGGAACATTCAAGTAAGTAAATTTAAAATATTCGGAAACTTTTTAAATAAATCAATATGACAACTAATGGAGTAAAACTTGGAAATTCGATGGAATATCAGTAAAATCACATTCCCACGAGAATGAGAAATCAATTCAACGCAAAATTTCATAATTTCAGAACGACCAATTTGTTGTGATGCAACGTTTTGACTGTGGTTCGAGAAAAAATGAGTGGCAATGAAGGATAGGGGTGATGGAGGTATTGAAGATGCAAGTGTTGCTGGATCATTTGTGGCTAATTAGATGGTTATTATCACAGCTGAAATGTTGCATCACATCATTCAAAATTTTTTAAGAATTGTGAATCATCCATCCGGTAGATATTTGAAATGAATCGACACTTATTTTTTTCTAAATATTTCAGCGACAATTGCTAGGTTTAAAATGGATGACAATGAGGGGATCCTCGCTGCACAGTTCAGATCTGTTACCGGTAAATTCTTCCTGTAAACATATTTCTTATTACACATTCTGCACGTTTGCATAAATTTTGCAATAAAAATCTAACGCAAGATGAACATTTGTATAGTGTTAAATTTTAAAAGTATTTCTTAACATCATATTGATATGGATTTGACCAAGTTTCAATGATTAAACATATGAAAATGAAAATTTTTTTTCAGGTTGCACGAATGCGGTAGAGGCATCTCAATATTTGGAAATGTGTAATGGTAATTTGGAAATGGCGATAAATTTATATTTTCAACAACTTCAACCATCCTCATCAACGGCAGTAAACGGTGAAGAGTCTCCGGATGTAATTTGCGTTAGCAAGGGTGTAGTACGACGTAATACTGCTATATCACATCGTACCATGTGTGGAACTACAAATCCACAAGTTGACCACTCAAATGATATGTATGTTATTATGAAACTGTTTGTTTATTCATTGTCATCAAAAGTTTGATATTTATATGCTGTTAGGAAGTGTGACTGCTAATTACTTAGTAGTAAACCCATTTATTATTAGTAAATATGTTTCTGACTGTTGTATCAAAAGATTCGAAACCTGGAAGTATTTTAACTTTTAGCACTGCAATATATATAAAGCTTTCATTCCTTGAATTAATCATTTTAATAATGGCAACGTTGTTTATTGCCAAAAACTCTACTTATATGGGATTGATTTATTTGTTTGCTTCTTAAGAAGTCTAAAATGTGATAATTATGAGATAGATGCAAAATATCTTCAGGTCAGGAATAGGTAACAGCGATGTACGAGAGCCAATAGCACCTATACGTGGAGCTATTGTTGAGCAGACATTTGCGCAGCAGTATAGTGAGTTTTACCTCATTCGAACTTGTTAGACGGAAATTTGTGATGTGGAGATAACTGTTTCATATTCTTTCCTTTCAAGCTATTCCATGTATATTACTCCAATAATAACGTTGATTCTTAGAAAACATCCGCTGTTTTCAGGCCGACAAAATGGACGGCATGGTGCTTCAGTATTTGATACAGCTCGTGATTTTCGCGCTGAATCTGGTAGTTTTCTTTGTTCATAACTTTGTTTCGTTAAATTCTTAAATCTTAGCATGAAAGTTACGAGCTCTTCGAGCAGTCGAGCAATAGTAATGCATTGTTTATTATTTGTTTTGAGTACCACTTTTTCCAAACAGCAAGTAAATTATCACATATTTTAAAGTAATAAATTTCAGGAGAACGAATGGCTATGCTGCAAAATAGGAATAATACGTTAGATCCGACGGTTGCCAAGCGTGTAACTCTTCAAAATCTTTTTCGTCCTCCCACAGATATTATGTTCAATGGTGATTGGGATGCTGTTAGTTATTTTTGATTTTAAATTGCTAATAATGATGATGTTTTCATATTGTGAAATATAACCATTATAATTTTTGAAGTATTTCCATGTCGCATAGCAGTGTCCACTTGTAAACGTGATTTAGTTGAAGATTAAATGGGGAAGAAATAGATCTAATAATTGGTTTTATAACTGAAAAACGGAATGAGTTGGTGCTAATGTGTAAGTTCAAAGTGTTCACAATATTTTAAGGATTTTGTACATAATCTGCCTTTTGCAACCACATTTTCAAGTATGCATTGTATGAAAAGCTTGAGGATAATTACAGTTCCGTTGCTACAGTTGATTTTGTTTTTGAATAATTTAGATTCATAATTAATGTAATTTGTGTTAAAATATGATACGAGGCGTTTTGGCATGAATACTTTGTCCTGCTTATAGATGCAGTTCATTTTATTATTAATCGTTAATCACGACTTATCATAAGATGCTTATTAGTGGAAAAAAAAATTAGAAGCAGTAATTGACTAATCTAAAAACAATAATAACGTTCATTAAATTCCGTTTAGATTCTATTAAATTCTATTCATTTATAAATGTTATAGGTCCGCGCTGAAGCTCAGTCGCGTGGACATTGGCTACTTGTTAATGTACAAGATGATCTGGAATTCGCTTGTCAAACACTTAATCGCGATGTGTGGTCCAATTCATCTGTAAAAGAACTTCTCCGATCAAATTTCGTCTTTTGGCAAGTAAGCAAATCTCACTTTTTATTTCTCAAGCTATCGAAAAGAATAAAATACTATAATATCTAATTTTTAGGTGCACAAAGATTCAGCCGATGGGAACAGAGTGAGCAATTATTATCGGATGCATACATATCCAGCTGTTTTCATAGTTGATCCACGTACAGGAGAACAATTAGTCACAATCGGAGCCAAAGATACAATGTCTTTCTGTGATCAAAGTAAGCATATTTTATAAATTGATTTAATTTTACGTTTCAAAATTTGTTCCATCATTTTCATCATTATAGTATTTGCTATTATTTGATGGATAGATTAGTCTTCGGCTGAAAATGAAAAACATGTAATATACTGAGAAATAATTAACTGTATATATAATATATGCATATGATATATATGATATATATATATATAAAATATAAAATAGAGATATGCATATATCATATATATCTCTATTTTCAGTTACAACATTTTTGGACGCTTGTCCAGATTTCGAAGCAAGAGACAAGCAATTAACAATTACGCCCACATCGAGCAATTTCGGGCGGTTAATATCGAGAGAGGATTGTGGACATAATCAATATATGGATGTAATTTTTCTGCTTACTAATTCTTTTTTTATTTATATAATTTTGCTTCAAAAATAAGAAGGAAGAAAGAAATTTATTCAAAAAAAAAACATTATTTGAAGAAATATCTTTGGACTAAACCTTTGATATATGATCGCTTTCTTCTGATGTGTACTGTTACATTTTGATTCCATTACTTGTCGATAGGTACAGAACTCATCAGTCACAAATCGAAAGCGTGTACACTTTTCACAGCAAGACGAAGTTATGGATGATGATTGTTGTAATTCAAAAAAGCCTCGTGAAAGTATGCTCCTTTTGCTAGGATGTGATTTAGATATTTGCAAATTCCATGGTAGTGATTGATTTTTGAATGCTGTTACCCTCTCTATTACTGAAAGTTTTTGTTTTCATTTCGAAATATCTGCAACATATTTTCGTTATTGCAACTGATAGAGCCACTTTCACCATACATTTCTAAACTAGTTCTGAAATTAGATGATTTTTCAGGCAATGATTGGTCAGATATTGACGGCATTATAGATAGTGGTAGCAAATTAACAACAATTGATCGAGATGAATGGATGAAATGTGTCGGTGAGCCAGATGGTCGTGGTTCTCGTCTTTTACTCTCTTTACGCCTACCAGACGGTAATCGTCAGATGGTGGAAGTAGAGGACACAACTACTCTCAAGGTAAAGTCTGTAAAATTATAAATTGGTTCAATATTTGCATTTTTGCCAGCCTTATCATATTTGTCTAATGACGGCACTGGATACACGCGTTGATAAATATATTTCCGTAAAAAGCCTAATGTATCAGCAGTTCTGTTTTATCTAGCTTTTAGCCACACCATATTGATTGTTTCGGCGATTAAAATTCGAAATAAAAGTGGTTTCAAATAGTAAATGAGAAAGTTTTTGTCTCCAGTTAACCAGATCACAGGAATATAAAGAGGTTTTTTTTGTCATTGTAGGCTATATTTGTGCTTATTGCTGGTCTTGGGTTTTATCCAACAGATCATCAGCTTGTCCTCGATTATCCGAAACGAATATACACCGATCAGGATCACTATCGTACACTTCGGGAGCTCAATTTTAGCAAAAGGGAACTTATTCATGTGGAAAGGCAATGAAGATTCATTCCATATTAAAAGAGCGATAATTCTGATTCGTGTATTTTCTTTCTTCCACTAGAATGGGACAAAATAGAACATCATTTTAAGCTTCTTTTTGAAGTCATAGCCATAACTTTTTTGAGTAGGAAGCTGCAAAAGTTCCAAAATTCTTCGATTGGGACTTTTGTTCGATTTATCATCGGAAGATTATTCATTGCTTGGAATATCTGCGAATTAGTCCATGAGGTATTCTAATTATAATAGGTTCGTGTTGTTTGTTTTTTAATTCATTATGTCTATATAATCATATTTATATATGTTGACATTCAAACAGTTCAAATACTTGCCATTTAATGATTCTTTTATAACATGTTTAACGTGCTGTAACTGAATCGTTTGCATTTCAGTTGCGGTGGGTTAATTTGTTTAAATTACTCATTGGCTTGTTATACATTTGCTTATTAGTTGTGTATGTAAATTATGAGGGTGCAGCTCCTGATTCTTACCACATGTTGAAGCACCACTCTGAAATTTGCTGTAGATAGCGTATGAATCGCAGTTATGCATCCAATTCATATAATTCGGTCCAAACGGTTTTCGTTGTAAATGATCTGTCTTTATTCATTCCCACACTTCTAAATTTCTTTTCTTATCACATTGTGTATTACTTCTAGGCTTGTTCCAATTTTTTGTTCTATTATCGAATTTTGATTCTTAACACATTCTCCCTTGCTCTTTCTTCATTGAAATTTCGAGTTAAAGATTATCTAAAAGTGAATATGCTGCCCCGAAAATACTTTCCTTTTTAGATCATGTGATTTGCGAATAATTTTAAATTGCATCAAATAGATTTTGTATTTACTCGCAGGGTTTAAAATCTTGCCTATGTTGTCGCCAATCTCGAGAGATCAATGTTTATTTATATCTAAAATTAGGCTTGCATTCAGGTAAAAGTTATAGTCTTCATCCGAGATTTGGGAATTCACTTTGGATAGGAGTGCCTTATATATTGCGTTTCATAAGAAGAACAGATATTTTGATGATGATTCCAATATTTTCGATATTAACAAATTAGTGCAACAAAAGAATTAGGAGAAGGAACAATGAAAGAAAGATTCACACGTCTGGACAGCTCTACGATTGCAAGCAAAGAGTCAGTCATAATCAGCGGGTATTGTTCACAAAATGATAATCCTTACTAGTCATAACTGGCAAACTACTGATTTTCCGTTATTTCTCCTACTTTGTTTGTCTTAACTTCTTCGTCGCTATTCCATACCTGAAGCGAATGGTTGATTCGTTAATTTGTCTTTTTCGCATAGTTTACTGAAAATTTGGAAGGAAAATAAAATTATTCCCTCCAAATTTGAACCTAGAAGGAATAATTTCAATAATTTTACCTGGTCTTAATTGAATTTTTAACTCTATCTGCGTTTCTTAAATTTTGTATGGTCCACGAATGATGCTTTCAAAAAATGGGGATGAGAAAGCAGTCGTCTTGCAGAACCGTCGTAGATAATAATAGATTAACGTTTTCATATTTGCGGTATAAGTTTCTTTACATAAAAGGAGCATACGAAATTTAAGTAGATTACCTTTATTTGTGAGTAGAGATTAAGTATAGATTAAAACATAGCGGCTAACTGTACAATCATCATTTTTGCGTCAGCAAAACTTTGGAATAGCCGAATTATGTTTCAGACTGATCAAAGTGATTTTGCAGATTTAATTGAGTTTTGCCCTGGAACGGTTGAAAAATCGTATACATTTCGTAAATTGCAGCAGCTCTAATAATAGAGAGATGAAAGAATGCGGGCTCTCTTTCAATAATTTTATGTGCTTCTTCGGGATATAGCAACACAGATCTCACAATTTCTTTTTGGAATGAAGATAAAATATAGAGAAAAAAGCTTTATGTTGATTTTTCTCACCATTTGATATATGTATCACGGAATGAAAATAAAATTAAGAAATTAAAAATGCTAAAACGTAAAGTCGATAAAATTCATAAGAATTCATAAGAACTGATTAAATACATTAAATTTTTGGGATTTAATAGTTTGTTCAGGATGCTCATTTGAATTTAATTGGAGAATTCTGAATATGCCTGTGATATGATTAATATCGTTATATTATTTGCTATTTCAAAATCCCCGACGTCTTATCAATCTTATTCATCGTAATCCACTGATACCGTTGTTAAATGAATGTCGTTGAAAAAAAAATTCAAACCAGTTATTCCGAATAATGGAGATTTTCCGGTTAAAATGATCGGTCCCCACACTATAAGTGTGTTGAAAATTTTGTGAACTTAATATTGAAGTTAAATAATCTAATTTATTGCTGTAAATAGGTTGGTTATTTTGGTCAGATATTCAATTCTTTACTTTTTCAAATACCAGTAAATGCTAAGAAAATTGATGATAGGCAAATAAAACAAACTAATTGGATGCTTAACAAGCATAAAATAATGTTCTATGACTAGACAATATAAGTTGTAAAAAGCAAATGAATGTTCATTTTGTTTTCGTTCTAGCAATTAACTGTTAAGATGTTTAATTGATTGGGTAAATTTTTTTTGTGCAATCAAGAGGTATAGCCATTATCGAGAAAAATATTTTCCCTGATTAGAAGAGCAAATTGACTATTCGACGATTGGCAATTAACGGCATCCAAAAATGAACACTCCAATCCCTGATTATTGATTGGCAGGGACTTAATCGAGTCGCTCTGTTCTGGGCAAGAAGTACATGTCTCGGTGGAATCGAATTCCACTCGATAACTGTATTAGCACAGTGGATATATAATAAATCAATAGAAGGCATGACGAGATAGAAAAGATCATCGGGATAGGACAAATCAATATTAGATCATGCAGACTCAGAGAGATAGAGAATGTGATGTGAAGAGAGAGGGTTACTCGTTAGCTGCATTTGTTGTCATACATGAAAAGTAAGAGAGAGTAATGGTAGCAGTAACTGTGAATGACATTCGAGAATGTCGTGTGATAAGGAATTCAATTTAGCATCGATTGAAGATT